AATAGAAATGAATATTAAAATTTTTAATTCGCTATGCTTGAATAAACATAATCCAAAGCAACGATCATTACTTTGTTCGGTAAAACTACCGAAGCGGAAAACGAAAACGTAACATTGTCATGAAATTACCAATTTGCCAATTCCGAGACCGGAAAAGCGCTGTCCAATGATCTTGCGTTTCCGCTTGACTGCGTCTCGGCCGAGCGAGCCTGGAGCTCGCGCTCCGGAAGGTATTCCCTCCCTGACCACCGAGACGGTCACATCGGCTTCCCGATATTGTTTATATTTTTATTCTCGTTGCACTTGATTGAGTTTGGGGTTTCATTCGATGGTCTCGCTTGTAGTTGTTGAAGGCTTGCTTGAAGCACCCTCGATCAATTTGGATCTTGATTAGGATTGTGGTTTCGATCTCGACTTTTATTATGATCGAGATACTGGTTCTGATCTGACTTCTGGTTTGGATTTTAATTCTGATTCTGATCAGGATTATGGTTCCGATCCGACTTTAATTCTAATCGTGATTCAGATTTTAATTTGGGTGCCGATTAGGCTTGTGCTTTCGATCTCGACTTTTATTATGATCGAGTTTCTGGTTTGGATTTTAATTGTGGTACTGATCAGGATTATGGTTTTGATTTCGAGTTTGATGTTGATGCCGATGTTGATTTTAATTTTGATTTTGTTTTCAATTACTATTTCGATTTTAATTTGGGTCTCGATTTCGATTTTTATTCTGATGTTCGTAAATACATCTGCCTTTTCTAATGACAATAACTTTTCTGTTTCAGTTCGCGTGTAATCTTTTCATTGACTGTTTTAGTTCAATATGTGCAGCAATAATTTATGAAGAAATAGAAGGAAGCGATGGTGGCAGGCAGAGAGGCAGGCAGGCGGGCAGGAAGGATGGAAGGAAGGAAGGAAGGGTGGAAGGAAGGAAGGAAGGAAGGGTGGCAGGCAGGCGGGCAGGAAGGATGGAAGGAAGGAAGGAAAGGTGGCAGTCAGGAAGGAAGTCAGGCGGGCATAAAAGAAGACATTTCTTCAGTCGTGGAGGCAAGTAGGAAGTCACCAACGAGAGCATGGACAAATAATTTTAAGAAATTGGCATATCTCAGGCATGGAGAACAGTCCCATCCCAGAAAGGAAGGCAGGCAGGCAGGACGGATGGAAGGATGGAAGGAAGGATGAAACGGAGGCAGCCAGGAAGGCGGGCAGGAAGGATGGATGGAAGGAAGGAAGGATGGAAGGAAGGATGAAACGGAGGTGGGCAGGAAGGATGGAAGGAAGGAAGGAATGAAGGAAGGAACGAAGGAAGGAAAGAAGGGTGGCAGGCAGGAAGGAAGGCAGGAGGGCATAAGACATTTCTTCAGTCGTACATGGCAAGTAGGAAGTTATCAACGAGTGCATAGTGAGATAATTTTAAAAAGTGACACATTCCAGGCATGTGGAGTTGTCCCGTGTCGTAGTGCGAGTTGTGCCTCCCTTAAATTCCACTCTATAACGTAGTTATAATTTAACTTCATCCGTCTCTCGTATCCATCAATCAATTTTACCCGCGCCGCGAATATTAGTTTCCCAACCAGATTTTGCTTGGGTACCGGGGGGAGAAAAGAGTGGGATCCTGTATCTTGGGTGGCCTGCCTCGTAAGCCGAGGGGGTGTTTCTGTTCCATTCTCAGGTGCAGTGCGTAAGCTCGGTGAGACGGATTGGTCGTGGTCAGAGCACTCTCCGCAGAGGTATGGTCATCCTTGTGCAGGGTCCTGCTTGGATCGAACTCTGGCTATTCAAGTGAAATTTGGCCACTTTTGCTTAGTTTTGTTTTAAATTTTAATCAATAGTTCGAGTCAATAGTTCGTAATCGTATCAAATCTCCTCCCATATTAACTTTGTACTATAGAGTGGTAATTTACAAGGGGAGGCAGGAGGATGGCAGGAGGACGGAGACAGGAGGACATAAAAGGAAACATTTTTTCAGCAATGTAGGCAAGTAGGAAATGATTAACGAGAACATCGACAGATAATTTTAAGAAATGTCATATTCCAGACATGGAGAAGCGTTCCATCCCTAGAAAGAAGGCAGGCAGGAAGAATCTTGATTTCGATAATAGTTCTAAGGTTCGTAAATATGTCCGCCTCTTATATTGACAATAGCTTTTCTGTTTCAGTTTATGTGAAGTTTCTCCATTGATTGTTTCAGTTCACCCTCACGTGCAGCAATAGTAATAAAAGGTAGGAAGGCAGGAAGACAGACAGGAAGGGAAGGTGGCAGAAAGGATGGCAGAAAGGATGGCAGAAAGGATGGCAGGCATGAACGAGATCATCGTCATATATTTTCAAAAATTCCAAGACACGGGAGAAGAGAGCGAAGAGAGAAGAGCGAAAAGAGAAGAACGAAGAGAAGAGCGAAGAGAGAAGAGCGAAAAGAGAAGAGCGAAGAGCGAAGAGCGAAGAGCGAAGAGAGAAGAGCGATTACCTTACAATCTAACGCAAGACGCATTTGCGGTGCGGCGTGTATGCGTGTGCGGTGTGTGGGGCAGTGGGTATTGTCCACTGCCCTGGGTCTCGAA